ATTACTATATGAGCTATAGTCTAAACTCCTAGTATCCCCCTTAATAACCCCTATAGTAGTCCACTATATAATCCCCTACATAACCCCCTTTAAGGAGTTTAGACTATAGCTCATATTGGGGTTACATCGAATTAAGCCTGCAGAGATCTTGCTTTTGAGGTGCCTCTTTTCAGCAGCGGCGGGGCTCGGAGTTGAAAGTGGCAATGCTGCTAAAGAGGGTTTAGGGTTTAGGGGTTTAGGGGTTTAGGGCTATCCTCTAAGCCCGATCCTGTCTACGAAGCGTCGTTTAGTCTGTCTTTCCTGCTGTCCTTTCCCTAAGCATTCTGGGACCTTGGATAGTAAGGATTCCGAGTTACCTTATTCAAAGCATGGAACCCAGATTATGCATAGTCTTAGGATGGTTAGGGTTTGTGGGGGGTAGAACTGTCGGAACTTCTCCAATTCAACAAGCTAGGGGTAGATAGCAGCTCCTGATTTCGAGCCGCCACAGTTCTCCCATCGCATGGTTTAGGGTTTAGGGTTTTTGCTATCATCAGAACTTCCTGGCTGTTCAGCACCTAGGGCACCGCACACCAGTTGACCTGTTTGGGATATCTGGGGCTTGATCTTACCCAGGAAGGTTGAAGACTAAATTCGACCCCAAGCACTAGAAACCCTGAGTCCCATACCCCAAATCCCAAAATCAAGCCTTCGACGAGTGGGCATTTCCACAAATAGCTTATCTACCCCCAAACCCTAGAATTCAATCTGTTTGAAAGGCCTCCTAAAGAGGGACTCGAAACCCCAGGTACGATTCCGAGCCCCTATGATCTGAATCCAAGCCGCAAAACCAAGTTAGACTTGAGGTGTACCCCCACCCTACCCTGTAATAGTCGTATAATACCGATGGAAGAAGAGCTTAGAATAAGTGTCAGTGTCCCTGATAGTCACTCTTGCTGGGTGGGGGGCCACCTGAGTTAGACTCCAAGTGATCCCTAAACCCTGAACAAACGAGCCTTGTGAGCAAATCTAAGGACCGCTGTCGTATGTCTGGTTCGGCAGTGGCGCCCATGCTTATTTGCATTTCTCAAGATAATACGGGGCTTTTTAAGCCCAGGGTTTAGGGAACCCTTGTGAGTTTAGAGGGATTACAGGGAGACTACAGGCTTTCAGGGGTGAAAGAGGGTTATAAGGCGTTAGGGTTTAGGATAAAGCCCTATTTGAGTTTCATCTTTTTTCCCGTCTGTGCTACCTGAAGCCTCTGTCGTATCGGGATAACTTAGCAAACGCCAAGTGTGTGTACCTTTTTCAAGGCAGTCAGGCCGTATAAGCCCTCATCCCTACACGTCCCTTAACAATCTCACCCTAAGGGTGCAAGGACCCAAATAATAGGGCTTCAAGGCTCAAATACTAAAATACTAATGGTATTTGGGCCCTAAAACCCTATTATTTGGGTCCTTGGACCCTTAGGGAATCTCAGTGTCCATTTCATTTGCAATGGCTTGTCCATCGGATTCTCCAACGTAGCGCCAGGCATCACAATTACTGACATTGGTAGGACTGGTTGGTGTTATCACTACTTTAATACTCTATTACTATCCAGTTACCTAAATAGTAGGTTACTGGGCCATGTAACTATAGGGTATATAGAACCCAGTTCCCATTATTTAGGTAACTGGAGCCCTTGGGACGATTTGTACTACTACTACTACTACTACTACTACAACTACAGGCCAGAGGCTGGCGGTCTAACCGCCCAGCTCAAAAGCTCAAGCAAAGAGGGCGCGGGCGGAGTTTGCATCAGCTTGCATCTGGTAAGGCTTTGGGTTTAGGGGTCTGCGGTGGGGTTAAATAATCATCGTACTAGTACTCGCCGTAGTGACAGCAATGGTGATAGGAGCCAGACGTCGGTGATTTGAAGCTCAAGTCAACAACTAGTCGCGAGTAGTCATTACGCGCCAACGGGTGTGTAATGAATGGCATACTGGTTAGAGTGTAAAGTTCGAGGGGTCATCCCGCGAATCACGCAAAGTCGCGGTCATCCAATAATCTTTCGGCAGTCTGAGACCGAAGATGGGCGAAGTGACCAGTCAGAAGTGGCCTGATCTGCGCTTTATGAAAGCAAGGGACCGTGGGCACCTGATAGGGCATGCAAGATATCTCCCCTCCCGAGACCTGGGGTCTACCAGGAAGTGCACAGGAATACTTGTGTTTCTTTGCGTTCTGCGTTCCTGCCTTAAGCAGTACGGAGAAAAGTATTCCGCAGCACTACCATCATAGAGTACTTGAGGGCCTCTTGTAACTCGGCTTGAACGGGCTCGGCTGGTTAAAAATGCATTTCCAGTATTGCAAATACATTTCAAGAAATGTCGAATCCCGATGAGCGCAGGGCTCCCCAATCAAGTAAAGCTTTTTCAAACATGATTCTGGACTCCCTATTCGATTCGAAGGGTACCAATACAGTAAGATTTATTCGGCCGAAAAGCATATAGGGAAGGTTTGGATAAGGCCACAAGGCTTTGGCTTCATTAAAAAAAGGGTGAAAACAACAGGCTCTATTATCTATTACCTCTACAATCTGGAACTTGATGCCATTAGGTCAACTTCAAGGTACTTTGTTCCTCATTTTGTACAACTACCTTGAACCCTCAACGTCAAAGCAACCAACTCCCCAATCTCAGCCAGTGTCCACGCTGTGGGGGTCCACCCTGGGACGGGAAGCTTGTTCAAAAAATCTTTGGGTTTTTGAGGGCTTAGGGTGGGTTCAGGGCGGTACGGTAACTCCCAAAGGTTTAGGGTACTTTGGGTCATGTAGGGCTTTTACGACCTACCGTAGTTCAGCGTATGAGGTCTTTGGAGGTCTATAGGTTATTTTGAAACAGGCTGAGGGTTTCGGATGCGTCTCTGCAGTTGCTAAGGGACCTGCTTTGACGCACCTAGCGCCTCGGCACCAGGGCGGGCCTAATTACCAAAAGCCTCTTACTAAAGCTTATTGCTATATATATATATAATTAAATTGTATATACAAAGCAAATGTATACACTATAACAACAATTACTATATATAACAGTGTATATACTATATTGCATACCGCATATATCATATGATATATATATATATAGATATTTATATGTATATACAATGTGTTATTCTGCATTATCTAACATATATAATGTATGACAAGTCAGCAGAAGGCGGCGCAGTTCAAGGCCGGTTTGCATCAGGGTGACGTGCGGTCCTACTGGTCTAGGGTAGGGAATCAGGGAATGTATCGCTATAGTAATCACTGAATGTTCGAAGCCCACACTGCCCAAGACCTGGAAATTGAGGAGTAAACCCTAACTGGTATAAGATTTAAGGTATACTTTTTAAGCAAAAGCTTTTGGGCTGCCTGGGCATAACAGTTCCTACCCACCCTATGAATGCTCTGATGCCACCATGACACATGGGGAATTTATGTGACCTATGTTTCGATGGCCGGACTGCACCTCCCTACAAAAGACAACTTCGTACTGCCATGAGGAATCTGTGGCTGGTTGGGCCTCAGAAGCCAGCGAAAGACTAAGCCCTCTCATTGGGAAGACTTCCTTACTTTG